TTGCTGTTCTCCTTTTCAGCTTGCATCTTTCATTGTGGGACTGAAAAATGTTCTAAAAAGAAAATGGGGAAGGTTCAAAACTTCCTTTCCAGCAGTATCACTAGGGATGTGCCAGTTGTAATTCAGGAACCGTTTATAAAACATGCCCTATCCTCTCTTCCCCTCATGTGTGATGACATAAGAAGAGCCCTGATGAATCAGACCAAAGGACCGTCTAGTCCAGCATTTCTGTTCTCACAGTGGCCATCCCAGATGCTTATGGGAAGCCTACAAACAGGGCCTGAGTGCAACAGCTCTTTCTTCACCCATTATTCCTAGCTGCTGGGATAGCTCAGTCAATAGAACATGAAGCTCTTAATCTCAGGGTCATGGGTTCAGGCCCCATGTTGGGCAAAAGATTCCTGGAGAGCCAGTGTGGTGTAGTGGTTAAGAGCGGTAGTCTCGTAATCTGGGGAACTGGGTTCGCGTCGCCGCTCCTCCACATGCAGCTGCTGGGTGACCTTGGGCCAGTCACACTTCTTTGAAGTCTCTCAGCCCCACTCACCTCACAGAGTGTTTGTTGTGAGGGAGGAAGGGAAAGGAGAATGTTAGCCGTTTTGAGACTCCTGAAGGGGAGTGAAAGGCGGGATATCAAATCCAAACTCCTCCTCCTCCTCCTCCTCCTCTTCTTCTTCTTCTTCTTCTTTATTGCAGGGGGTTGGACTTAGATGACCCTTGTGGTCCCTTCCAGCTCTACTGTCCTATGATCTTATGATGAGCTGTGATCCAAAGGCATACTGCCTCCAACAGCAGAGGGAAAACATGGCCATCATAACTAGTAGCCATTGACAGGCTTAGTCTCCATGAATTTATCTAATCCTCTTTTAATGCCATCCCAATTGGTGACCAGCACTACATGTTATGGGGACAAATTCCATGGTTTAACTATGCACTCTGCAAAGAAGTCCTTTTGATATTCTCAAAGTACTCAGTGCTCCCCAGCAGCTCACAATGATTACTGGGCTGAAGTTGCCTGCTCCAGGACCATCAGGAATTATGAGGAATTCTCAGTTCCTGGTGTTCTTACAATGAATTCATACCAACATACAAGAAGGCACTCCAGCAGCCCTCTGGCAGTGCTCCCATGTGACAGCCATTTAGATACAGTGGTACCTCGGGTTACATACGCTTCAGGTTACAGACTCCACTAACCCAGAAATAGTATCTCGGGTTAAGAACTTTGCTTCAGGACGAGAACAGAAATCGTGCTCCAGCGGCGTGGCAGCAGCAGGAGGCCCCATTAGCTAAAGTGGTGCTTCAGGTTAAGAACAGTTTCAGGTTAAGAACGGACCTCCGTCTGCCCCTAGGTCCTTTTCACATGTACTACTGGCAAACCAGGAGTCACAAATCTTATATTTGATGCATTCTGAATGCATCCTGCACAATGAAATTCATGACAATCTGGATTTGAAAACATCTCAGAGCCAGAGCATTATAATTAATAGGATGGACAAACAATGCCTTGCTGAACTTCATCCCCCACAGTCGGTAATAAAACAGAGGGTCAAAGACATAAATCTGGCTTCTATTATCGATCAGAGCACATTGCCACTCAGTTAGGTGTAATGACAGTCTCATAAAACACTATTCATTCCCATATAAAATTGTCCCTTCTGTAACACAGAATGATGATATTGATAAGTTCTGCATGCCGGGCATTAGATATTGCACCCATAACATAATAGTTTTGATAGCATTCAAGGCAATAAATTCAATGTGGCGACAGAGCAATGCAGAAACCAAGCGCCTGCAAGGAACAGCGAAGCCAAGAAAGCAAACCATGGCTGTCCTTTGTTGTTAAAGACGTCAGGTGAGTCTTCCTGGATCAGCATCCTGTTCTCACAGCAGTCTGCTGGATGAGTTGCTCCACAAATTAATTTTGAAGGAAATTGCATTCCAATACCCCAACTAACCAGGCTGTTTCTGTTTTACAGCCATGTTTCTGAAACACTGGGCCAGGGCTAGGGACAAGGGAGAAATCTGACTCTGTTTACATTTACAGGCTGACCTGCCTGATTTCCAAAGCAATAGGTGAACAGAAATACAGACACTTTTTGAAATCCACATTTCTCTGAATTTTGTATTGTGGATCTCCAGCCAAGGGGAAAATATTTTTATTTTATTTATTAAATTTATATACCACCCTTCAACATAAGATCTCACAGTGGTACGCAGAATGCATATACTGGGATAAAGAGTGCATAAGCGTGCATATATTGGTGAAAAAGCATGAAATATTAGGAGGAATTACTTTGCAAAAAATGATATATTATGTGAAATTGTATTAGAAAGATGCACATACTAGGAGATATTCACAGATGAGTTTTCATGAGGACTTTTTAAAAACAAAAATAAATAAATGCAGATTGCAAAATGGCATCCATGTTCTCATAGTGGCCTTGGTTCAATGTCTCCCTTTCCTTGATCTGCCATTTTGAAATACAAATCCTTTCTGTAGGTCCTTTGAATTACTAATGTGGATGTCAAAAAAAGAGCATTTTGTGTTTTAAGGGAGGCTTCCCTTTTGGCCTAGAAAAGCATCCTTTTCCAGGCCAGGGTAGTGACTTGGAAACACCAGGGCAAGGCTGGTGGTCTTGATTAGCCCAACACAAGCTGCGATTGGGCTTAGGAAGGGATGGTAACTCAGCTTTCAAAAAGCATCCAGCCATATGTCACTCTTTGGGGCATGAGACCCTCTTACTGTTTTATCATCTAGATCAAACTCCACTGACCTGGTGACCTTCAGATGTTTTAGGCCCCAGTCAGCACATGACCAGAAGCCATGCAGTTCAGTGCTGTGGCCCACTGTTGCAGAACTCCCTCCTGAGTGAGGTTAAACAGACCCCTTCCCTGTTGAACTTCAGGCGCTTTGCAAAGGTTCTAAGATACATTTCGGTTATTCTTATCCTGTGTAAGCTTTTTTTTAAAAAAAATGTACAATGACAGCAGTAACTATGAAGTTAGTATTGTCAACACACCCACATTAATTGACAAAACATGAAAAAACCACCATAACCATTATTATTTTTTTCCAAAAGAGAATCACATTTATTGTGATCTATTGATAACATGAAATATTGTTGCCCCCGCCGTACTGTAGAATGGGACAGCCGTTTTAAGAGTTACAATGGAACCAAAATGCAACAAAGACAATCTAGGATTAGCCACATTTCACATCATCGGGTCCTGACCAGGCCAGTTTTGTAGATGGCTATACTTTACAATCAGCCTTCCCCAACCTGGTGCCCACTGGAGCTTTTAGCCCAGCGATTTGCATCTGTCCCAATCAACTTAGCTATGCTGGCTGAGGCTGATGGGAGTTGTGGGCCAAAACAGCACCAGATTGTGGAAGGCCAAGATAAATCCTACTAGTCCAAGAAGTATATTCCTCTTATAAGTGCATTGCCAATACACCAGCTTTGTAAAAACAAATTAAACTTAATTCATATTGTTTACATTAAAGTGGGTTTCCAGCCCCACACACGAATAAGGAGTCTTTCCCCAACCTTTCAAAGACTTCAGCAGTTGCTAAGGGCCAAGTCTCATCTGATGGTTTGAACTTGGGTGTCCATATGTGAGTACAAAATGCATGTCAAGTAAGGAGGGTGCATATGTGCGGTTTAAAAATGTGCCAGTGGTCTTTCGGCTGATCTCTGGCCATTTGTGTGCATTTCAAAGAGAAATGCTACCAAAAAGGAGGGGGGAAGAGTTGTGCATGCAACCTTCATTTTTTTTGATGAGGCACACATACTTGGGCTTCCAGACTCGAGTACGACATTTAAATGAGACTCAGCTCTGAGAGATGGGATTCAAAGGGAAGAGAGGGGTTCAAACAAATGGTTATCTCCTTGGGTATCTCTTTCTGGGTAAGACTGCATTCTGTGTGTGCTGAGCAGGTCATGTGAAGATCCTACCATAGTCAAGTGATGCAATTGTACAGTTCTCTTATGGGAAGATTGGATAGTCCCCTAGCAAATGACCAAAGTCAACTGAGCTATGTCATGAAACCTGTTTGCCATAGACAAACCTTCTTCACTTATACACACAATCCTGCCACCTGCCCAGTGTTCTAGTGAACCGACCATGAGACATCTGGAAAGGTTTAATATCTAATGGATGAGAATACCCAGTACACTTCAACTACAAAACAGATGTTACAGCAGGGATGGAGACCTCCATGTTATTGGATTCCAGCCAGCATAGGCATTGCTGGCTCCCAGTACGTTTCTGAGCACAATTCAAAGTGTTGGTGCTGACCTTTAAAGCCCTAAACGGCCTCAGCCCAGTATACCTGAAGGAGCGTCTCCACCCCCATCATCCCCATTGAGGTCCAGCACCAAGGGCCTTCTGGCAATTCCCTCGCTGCAAGAAGTGAGGTTACAGGGAACCAGGCAGAGGGCCTTCTCGGTAATGGCGCCTGCCCTGTGGAACGCCCTCCCAGCAGATGTCAAGGCAATAAACAACTACAGTGTTTTTCGCTCCATAAGGCACACTTTCCCCTAAAAAGTAAGGGGAAATGTGTGTGTGTCTTATGGAGCGAATGCAGGCAGGAGGCAGGTGGGAAAAGCCCTCAAGTCAGTCCCTTCTCCCTCCTCGGGGAAAAGCCCCCAAGAGCCGTGCACCCTTTAAAGAGCATGCGGCTCTTGCTGGCTTTTGTGGGAGGTGGGGGAAGTGACGGGCTACCCTTCTCCCTCCTAGGGAAAAGCCTGCAAGCGCCGCACACACGCTCCACGTGGCTCGTGAAAGGGAGCGCTGAGCAGAGCCTGGGATGCATACAGGCTCTGCTCAGTGCCCCCTTAAAAAAATTTTTTTTCTTGCATTCCCTCTCTAAAAACTATGTGCATCTTATGGTCAGGTGCATCTTATGGAGCAAAAAATATGTTTTGCTTTTAAAAGACAACTGAAGGTGGCCCTGTTTAGGGAAGTTTTTAATGTCTGACGCTGTATTGTTTTTAATATTCAGTTGGAAGCCGCCCAGAGTGGCTGGGGAAACCTGAGCCAGATGGGTGGGGGGGAAATAATTAAAAAATATTATTATTATTAATAGTTACAGGTGAATGGAGGTGTGGTCCAATAGCATCTAGAAAATCAGATTCCTTTGACCACCATTATCAGAGGAGAGAGATTCATCTATGCAGCTGGCTGCTGACTGTTCTCTGGACCAGAAGATGGACCTTTCTGTTCCTGCTGACATCTGAGACTGGCCTTATCTTCCTCTGCAGTACTTCTCAAAGGAGTTTATCCCACTGTATATTAAGCTTGGGAGTTTAAAGTAAAATCTTGTGGAAGAAGAGTACACCTTTAAAAAGATGCAGGTGTGAGGAAAATCTCTGACTGACTCAGTGTGTCATGTTTTCCTTGGACTGCATGCATATATCTTGCTCCTTTTGCAACACAGACGTGGGCATGACTAGTGGGCATGCATCCATGACTTGAAGCAGTATCACACACTGCTGGTTCAGTGCTTTAGCACTATGCCAGATGTTCAGGTGGCTGCACTGGAATAAAAATGAGCTTTTTAAAGCTTTCTGCCCAACATTTCACCATATGGCTTGTGTCACATGCTCTGCTGGATTCGGAGTAGAGATCGGATGTGCTCAGCCAGTAAATCCAAGCGCTATCAAAAACTTGCATGGACACACCAGCGCAGTGAAGTACAGACTGGGGGAGAAAACGGACAGCCAAGTGAGAAAGCCAGTGTGATGAAGTGAACAGAGCACACTCCTTAACTCCAACCAGGCAGACTGGTTTCCAATCCCTGCTTAGCCCCAAACAGAGATGGATTTAGGGGAGCATGACCAGTTCGGTCGCACTTGGTGAGGAGCCTCAGAGGTGCCACAGGAGATGCTGCAACTATTATTTTGAATGGAGTGCGGGAGGCACCAAATTTTAGCATCACACAGAGCCACTGAAAAATGAGACCTTAAGATCCTCCACTGCCCCCAAACTAACTGGAAGACTTTAGGTCCTGTGCATGGGTTGTTGAGAGCCTTAATAGGAATAAATCAGACCACACATGTTGCTCTGATCTCATTGTTCAATAGTTTGATATTCAGCAGAAATATCTGAATCGGTGTTTTAATGAGTTGTCCATCTTTCTTTTTACTCTTGCTTGTGTTATGATGTTGATATGTTTGATATAGATCACTCTGAGTTAACTTTGGAGGAAGAGGGATCAACAAATATCCTAAACAATAGTTAGTCCTGAATATGCCACACAGCTCATTTTAATAAGATCCATGCTCCCCACCACATTTCCATTCATTGGGAAGAGGTTGGTAAAATTCTTTCACCACAAAGGCAGTCGCCATGGTCCTCTAGCTCCCAGTGTGGTTGTACAGGCATGTTGCTTCTTAACCATAAACTGTATTTGCCTAATGCTGTGTTCCATCATGCTTCTGTGGAACAAGACCTGACTACAATACTGCTGGATAGTGGGGTTCCTTACAGGCCGTGGCTCTGCTGAAATAAACACAATAGAATCTCAGCCCTAACCTCTCTCCTCCTTGGAGGGAAAAGAGAGATGCAAACACCCTTGGCTGCTTTTAAGCTATTTCAGGAACATAATAGCAGTTCTATCTAGCTCACAGTTGATATGCCGGCTGCCAGTTGCTGACATGTTGCTTTTGCAAAGTGCCTCCGGACACCTTGAATATTAAAAGGCACGATTAAATGCCAATTTCTGATCCAGCTCCCATGCTGGATGTTGTTTCCGCTACACAGTGACTGCCCCTGACTGAGCTCCCAGTGGGTGGGTGTGGGTCTCCCGGAGGAGGAAGGTGGCCTTTGCAAAGGAAGAACAATGCTACCATTCTGACACTAACATCCTTTTCTATCTGTAGTGGAAGGGTGGGGGGGCAAATGATAATCATGTCCTGAATTGGATGCACAGGCTGAACTGAGAGAGGCTGAGATCAAGCTGGAGTCTGGCTATGGGAAATCAAAACCACAGTGGAATTGAAAGCCAACCCCCTATGAGCTACGGCAGCCCTAAGATATTTTTCGTTAACTCCACCTTGATATCCTACAGAAGCACATAGCTTTATTGGCTCGTGGGGAGTACCTCTTACCAATGGAGCCTCTTGCTACCATCTTACACTTGCTAAATTAAGCAAACGCCTTGCTGTCTTGCTTCATTTCTTGTAACTGCATCAGAGAGTTTACTGTCAAATACTGATTATATACAGCATCGTGTCAATACAATTGGTGCTATGGCAAGCAACCCACATTTAGAATACTATGGTGTTCTCCCAGTCTTCATTCTTCCATCTGGGACAGAAGCTAGAATGGCCACATAAATACATGGGGACAGTTCTTTGTAAGACCCCCATAAGAGAAAAGATCAGAAAGATCCAGGGAGCGCAGCTCAGCTGGTGTCTGCCCCAAGGTTTTGTGGACAATAGGTTCATCTGCTCTGGGATTATGTCAACCCAAGCCTTGGGGAATGACCCTGAAATGGGAATAGGTCCAGTGCTGGAGTAAAATATTCTGGTGGGTATTTTTGTTGTTGTTATTATTATTTCTATGTCATCCCTCCATCCGCAGATCTCAAGCTGGTTCACAACATAATTTTGTTCAGTGCAATTGTGAGAGGATTTATGGGCAGTCACACTGCAAGAGATACAACTATTATTCCCAGCAGCAAAATCATCCCGAATTTATCCTAGGGTTGGGCTTTGCTTTTTTTTCTGATCAGAATTGGCCGGGGGGGGGGGGTCAGGCTGAAATGTTCTGCTTCTGTGGCAATTAACACCATATGCTTCATGTAAAAATGGGGCAAGGCAGCTGTTGGGTTTATTATTATGGTAATATCCTAGAGACAGGAAATATAGCATGAGGGCATCATTTCAGGCCTCATCACAAAGTTCTTACCTTAGAGAAAGCAGCAGAGGCAAAGCAACTGCATACCACTTGTCCCATAATTATTGGGAACGTTGTTGTTTTTAACTTCTGTAGGTCTGAATGCATACAGCAGTTGATATTCTCCACCATAAGGGAATTTTAGGCTGCAGTCCTGAACACACTTCCCTACTGAATTAGGAGAGACTTGAGCAAACACACTCAGCACTGCACTGTCAATATATGTATATTTTGTGTGAGAGAGTGTGTGTGAGTGAGTGAGAAAGAGAGAACAAGAGAGAGGGAGATTTATGTGACTTTCCTCCCTTTCTTGTTGCCACCAAGCCAAGTTCTGACAGCAAATGTTTTCAGTTTAGTTTCAAGTAGTCATTAAAAGCAAAAGCTGAAGTTCATTAATCAAATACTTTGCGTGGCTATTTATTTTTCTCTGATCTCTTGCAGCTAAAAATGTTTTCTCAAGTACCCGAATGTGGCTAATTCCAGACAAGATTCAGGACAAAGCATGGCCAGCTTGTTGTGGTCAGCAAAGAGGGAGCTGAGATGTCTCACTAGAATGGCGCCCAAAGTGACTATGATGAGCACAGTTTCTCGGGGAAATTCAACACATCCATAGGTTGTGATCAGATTTTGCCAAAAACAAACTCTGAAGCAAATTTTTGGAGGTTCCTCCTGAGACCAAACATCTGGGAAATTTTGCAGAATGCCAAAGGAATTTGAGTAAGAGTAGCATACTCTTTGAAACAAGTCTACAACCTGACCTAGTTCTGTCAGGCCCCCCCCATTACATTGTAGCCTTTGTGCGCTCTCAAATTCATAATACATTTTGTGATGGGTTCTGAAACAGCTCTGGTGCATATTCAATATGGCAACGATCTGGCAATGCAATCTCTGAAGGACAATGAGGTGAGAACTTATTATTTAGAGGTGCAGCCTTGCCAAGGAAACCCAGGGCTCACCTCAAAGCGTTGCCTTCCTCCGAGCAGCCATGAAGATTTAGCACACCGATAAGCAAACACCACTTTACTGAGGTGCAACTGTGGAAACTGAAGGGGAAGGAATGTGGAAAGCAAGCGTGAAGAAGGAAAAATGTTGGGTCAACATAAGGAAATTCAAAAGGTTCATGGCAAGGAGTCATAGTTGGAAAATGTTTGGTGGGATTATGGATATCTGTGTTACTTTGTTTCTTCCCCTGCACTCTTCCTTCCTTCCTTCTTCTTTTTCCAAGTAATTTCTACAGAGGAACACAGGAGATGTTCATGCTACTTGCTGAGAGCAGTAATAGTAAGTTTCCTTGGCCCATGGATTCCACAGACCTTTGAGTCTCCTTCTACTACCCCGCAGGCTAACGTCTGGGAACTTGAGAGTTCCGTGGCAAGTCTCCGTAGCCCTTAGAAATTGGTGGCATCTTCTCAGATATTTTGCATGAGAGCGAGAGATGCATGGATTCCATTAGCTCCTTCCTCACATGACACCCGAGAACGCCTCAGGCGCAGCCTCATGATCTCCTAGGGTTTTCTCTCTCACACACACCACAAATATCACACTGCAGTCTCTAGGTCCTCATGGGGAACCACTTGGTGGTTCTGATGACTCTCCAAATACGAGGCTAGATCTGGGTCCCCAGCCTTCTGCGCCCTGTCTCGAGGTGTCCTACCCTACAATGAGAGAGAGACAGACAGACAAAGAGAAGAGGGGCTTAGAAATAGCCTGGGGAACAACACAACACTGAGCAGCATCAAACCAAACAGATGCTTGGTTTGTTTGGCTACAACAAATGCGTTACCCTCTGATGTGAATAACTGACTTTAGAATAGTATCCTGTGTAGCCCTATTGACAGCCCCATTGTTGTTGTTTTTTGTAATGGTGGGCAGGCAGGCAGGTAGGTAGATGAATCATCACACAGAGCAACCCACCAGCTGTCTTTGGTTCGATTGGTCCACAAAGGTGTGCACTTGGTTTAAAGCAACGGTAGTCCCTGTAAAGAAACTGATTTGCTAAGAGACCGTAGTCTCAATCATACTTACTTGGAAGTCAATTAATTATAATGAATGTCTGTGAGGGCCTTTCCTGAAACAGTTTGTAAATGAATGAATAGAGAAATAAATAAATAAAATGTTCACTTGGCACTTCCCAAATACGCTTTTGCCGTTTCTCTGACTGAGTTGGATGTATGTTGGTTTCACTTGTCCACAGCATTGTTGAAATGGGTTTGTTTGGTTTGGTTACCTTGGAATCCGTTTTCCTCAATGACGCTCCTGCCTCCACCAATAACTGGCAGATGCCACGGTGGCGCTGGCAGGCTGCCTTGTGCAGTGCCGTCTCACCCCTGTGTGTGTACAACAGAGAAAACTATCAATAAGAAACACTCCTTTTTTTGCAATTAATCACTTTTACCAGGGCACCCTTATAAGTACTGCTGACACAGACACTTTTTAAAGTCTTGATCTCTGGCTCCTCGGTGCTGTCAATTGTGTTCATGGATTTATTTTTATTATTATTATTAGCATGCTGAAAGCAATGTACTGAATGCTAAGTTGCTGTCCAGACTAAAGCTCCAGTTTGAACCAGCTACAAGAATGCTCCCCCCCCCCCGCCCTGTTCATTGAATTCCCTAACAGTAGTGAGCTTCCCCCTTTCCTGCCTCTGAGTTACCCCTCTCCCCCCACATCCTCTGGCCAGTCTGTTTGGCTTCTGCCTGGGGGTTGTGCTCTTTAATTTTTTTTTTGAAAAACACTTTAAATCTGGAATCATTTATATCACACAGTTCTTTGCCTTTAGGGACTGAGTGACACACTCTAACTCGAGCACTCCTTTCACACCATCCTGGAAAAAAAGATATGCATTATGTTGAAACCTTGGCGCTCCAATTTAAATTAATATCAAAAGGCAACTTCAAGGCCATGTCTCTGCTTGGACTTGAATCAAAGGCTTTAGCAGCGCCTGCAAATGCAAAATTGTAATTCTCATAGGCTGTCTAATGGACAGGTTATTTGAGTCCCCATATTGGAACCTTTGCAGGTACAGAAGGGAATAAATTGTGCCTTTCCTTTTCAAAGGCAGAGAGATGCTGGCATAACCTAAGCAGAACCAAAGTCTATTAGCTATCTTTGCATTGCTTGGAAGCATTGGAGCTCTAGAGTTCTTGGGAGTGCTTTTTCTCCTACTCTTCCTTTTCTTTTCTTCCTAGGCTGTTACAGCAGCCATCAAAAAGCCACAAGAGGGCATTAATTAATCTAGTACCACATTTGAGCTAAGCACTTTGTGTTTAATATGAGGGATGACTGATGGCACTTAAGAACAGGATTATTGGCTCCCAGAATTCCTGATGAGTTTTACAAGGGTGTGATTAACTTGTTGGGAATGGGCTTTTTGATGTTTCATAAACTGGATTCTGCAATAGGCAGGTGGATGGATTTCGTATCAGATACAAACAGGTTCAGAATATAATGCAACAAGTTTCAGATAAGAAGATGCAAATGCAGAGATTTTGATAGTCGCAGCATAACACCTGAGGTAAAAACCCAACACCAGCAATGCTTTTTCCATTTTTCAAATTCGCGTTTCATCAAAGCGTATTCTGAGACAAATTTTCACTTAACTTCAATGCTAGCTCTATAAAACAAACACACACAAAACTATATTATACCCTTTTCTTTTCTTCAGACAATGAGTGCAGTGAGGAGAAACCAGATATTATTTCCAGAACATTTCTACTAAAACGACTAGGATAATGTTAGCAGAAAACACTGGGGGGTGGGAGAATTAAGACATGACTAATGTCACATACACAAATTCATAGCTGCATTAACTAATCTGGAGTAACTTCTACTCCCTGGCTTCTGTCTCCTTTTCTGTTTTCATCCCCCACACCCAATTTCTTCCACAGAACTCAAGACAGCATACGCAGGGTTCCTGGGCAACCTCCGATCTAGGCTGTGACCATAGACATACTTTCTTTACTTCAGCAAGGCTGTTGCATCATTTGGCTTTCATATGGGGACCAATGACTGTTATGGATTGGAGGGATGGAGGGATGGAAGGAATGGTGTCTGTAACATCTGAAGGGCACCACATTTATTCATTTATTTATTACATTTTATATACAGTGGTACCTCGGTTTAAGAACAGCCCTGTTTACAAACTATTCGGTTTACAAACTCCGCAAAACCGAAAGTAGTGTCCCGGTTTGCAAACTTTACCTTGGTCTAAGAACGGAATCTGAATGGTGGGAAGCCTCATTAGGCAAAGCGAGCCTTGGTTTAAGAATGGTTTCGGATTGAGAACGGACTTCTAGAACGGATTAAGTTCGTAAACTGAGGTACCACTATACTGCCTTTCCCCTCCAAGGAGCACAAGGTGGTGTACATTGCTCTCCCCTCCCCATTTGTTTCCCCATAACAACCCTGTGAGGTAGGTTAGACTGGAGACAGTGGTTGGCCCAAGGTCACCCAGTGAGCTTCATGGCTGAGTGGAGGTTTGGACCCTGGTTTACCAGTTACTAGTCCACCGCTCTAACCATTACACTGCACTGGCTTGCCTGCCCTAGATTAGAATCTCCATTTCAGTATATACTACAAAAGAGAGGGGAATAGTACATCTATCTTTTCAGTGTCTACTCTCTGTTTTCTATGCATTAACCACCGGAATTCACAGTACAAGAGGGAAGCTAGAAGAAGCTAGAGAAAAAGATCTGCATCAATCAATGTGAAACTTGCTCCTTTATCTACATATGCTTTGCGGTTTAGGAAAGACATTATTATGCAACTGGAAAGAAACAGCAGGAAGTCACTGCTCTTGGGGTTATTTTAAGAGGTGCTTGGTTAAAAAAAATAAAGGAGACCAATGCACACTCCTAAAAGTGAGTTGGAATGAAACCAATGAAATAGAAGAGCCAAGTGGTCAGGACTTACGTTTCATTGTCTGTCATATCCACTAACTCAGAAGGACCTGTCAAAGGAAACAAGGTAAATCACATGGCAATCCTCAAGTTCATCAACACAAAATGGATTCCAATTCAGGGGCATGCTGAGGATTTTCACTTCCTTCCCCTTTAGATGGTACATATCAATACACTTAGTGGAAATAAATTATTGTTATTATTATTATTATTATTATTATTATTATTATTATTTATACCCCACCCATCTGGCTGGGTTTCTGGGTGGCTCCCAACAGAATATTAAAAACATGATAAAAGATCAAACATTAAAAACTTCCCTAAACAGGGCTGCTTTCAGATGTCTTCTAAAAGTCAGATAGTTGTTTATTTCCTTGACATCTGATGGGAAGGTATTCCACAGGGTGAGCGTTACTACCAAGAAGGCCCTCTGCCTGGTTCCCTGTAATCTCACTTCTTGCAGGGAGGGAACCGCCAGAAGGCACTCGGAGGTGGACCTCAGTGTCCGGGCTGAACAATGGGGTTAGAGACACTCCTTCAGGTATACTGGGCCGAGGCCATTTAGGGCTTTGAAGGTCAGCACCATCATTTTGAATTGTGCCCAGAAACATACTGGGAGCCAATGTAGGTCTTTCAAGACCAGTGTTATGTGGTCTCGGCGGCCACTCCCAGTACAAGGAAATAAAATGCAGAGTGTTAAAATTCATTGGTGTTTGGTGCCTATTGAGGCTGGTAGGGTGGGAGGCAGACAAACAGTAGATCAAGCCAGAGCCAGTGGCAGGTAGGGCCAGCTAATGCTAGTTTGCACCCTTCCTCTTCCTGCCAAGTTCTACAAGAGCAACCCTAAGACTAAGGAGAAGGCAGATGATGGTTAGCGTCACCCTTTAAAGTGGTTGTAGCTATGAAGGCAGGCAGGTGGGGAGTGACCAAGGGCAGACTGAGGTCATTGGGGCAGTGTTCCATTCACCTTCAGTTACTAACCTCCATTGATAAAATTCTAATTTTGAATCTGGGAGAAATTTAGTATGTCTTTAAGGTGAAGAAGACAAATGTAGAAATTTTAAGAGGATGGAGCTTAGGGATGGGGAGTCAGCCTTGATTTTTAGCCCAGTGCCCTTTACTTGTTTATTATTTAGTATGATTGTTTCTTGTTTTGTCGCTGTCATTTATAAAGTGTCTAAAATTGTTAAGCACCAAGCAGAAAGTTAAAACAGAGAAAGAAAACAACAACCCACCTAGGGGTTTGCCAACGAAAGATAAAGATACAATATGGTGGGGGTTGGGGAGGAAATCAAATGGAAAGAAGAGTTAATTAGTTCATCCAGTGGAAATTATTCAGTAGTAAAGTCCACTGAGTTAAATAGAGCTCACTCCCAAGTCATAGCTGTCAACATTTCCCTTTTTTAAGGGAAATTCCCTTATTCTGAATAGGATTCCTTGCAAGAAAAGGGAAAAGTTGACAGCTATGTTCCAAGTACAGATGCATAAATGTGATATATTTAAAGGAGGTTTGAAGCACACAGCCCTGACTGTAGTTTATCTCTGACAGAGCTATAACTCCCAGCATGCTTAGCTAACCACAGTTCCCAGGATTCTCTGGGGTGAGGAGGTGCTTAAAATGTATAGTGTTCATACAACCTAAATGTGCATGGGATTTCAGCCTTTTTTTCTCAAATGCCTGCCTCTCCAGCAACCATCTCATGCCCCCCTCTGATTCCTCCCCTTTTCTGGACCTCGCTTTCTTATATATATCAATCTCCCCTTTGCTGCCAGACGACCATTCCAAATCCTCCTCTGGCTTAGGACAAAAGCCGCACAGATGTGGGAAAGGCTGGCACTGGGGAAAGCTAGTGGCACTGTCATCCTGCCACAGCAGGGAGCTGGCAGCTTTTACCCAGGGACAAGGAGCAAAGGAAAGGGGGGGAGAAGCGGGGCGGGAAGGCAAGGAGAAAGGGAGTGCCAACTAACCCAATGGAAATCCGGAAGGGAAATGCATGAGTGAGATTTCTATCAAGGAAAACAGCAGGGAGGGATGGGGAAATAAAAACAAAAAGGGGAAAGAGAAAGAGAGAAATGTGCAGGGAGGTGGAGAAGTGAAGAAAAGGATCAGGGAATTAAAGGAAGAATGGCGAGGGGAATCTCGCCTGAAAAGAGCTCAGAAGGGGAAAGCAACAGGAGGGTGCCCTGTGGGGACCGCTGTCTGTCCTTAACAGCTCCAATTGTCAGCCCGTCTCAAATTCATAATTCTTTCCCCTTTATCCTGCCTTTAGCTGCACCACACACACACACACACACACACACACACACTGGTGGTTTCCCAGGAAACAAGGCACGTCAAAATCCCTATGGTGCTGTGTGTATGTGGGCCCAGAAGATGTGGGGCGAAGATGTGGAAAATCAGGCATCTGCCCCCTCACAAGGAGACAAAAGAGGAAGCGAAAGGTTCCCATTTCAGCCAGATTTCCAAACAACATGGCACCCATAAATGCAATCCCCTCCTTCCCAATCAACCCTCTTTCTTAACACAGACAACATTAAGCCTCTGTCTTCCATCCAAGAATAATGCAGTTACTCAGACCCTCTTCACATGCACTCCAAGCTACGGGAGATGCATTTCTCCATGGCGATATCCCATCCATCTATGTCATGTGTGAATACGCAATCCCGTGGGTGGGAGCTGGCAGGTGGCGGAGACCCATACAATTGATTCTGCTTATGTGGCTGCACTAATAATGAGGGCTGTGCATTTGATCTGGAGGAACCTCAATACCCAAACCAAACTGAGGAGATTCATATGGTTCCCCGGTCATCTAGCAACTTGCAAGAGAAACTAAGCAAGGGAAGGATCCCAGGTCTGTGTTTATCAACATGCTACTTTGTATGTTGTTGTCAAAAAGCATCTCCTAGGCTGCAAAGAGCCCTGCACGGCTGCAAGTGAGCCCAGAGTTTTCCTTTAAAAAGTTCATTGGAAAGGAAGTCCAAGCAGATGCCATTGAGCACCTCACTAATATAAGATAAACGCAACCTCCCCATCCCCTATTATTTTTTTCCCTTGAAGCTCTGGTCACCCATCCCATGTTCTTCAGAGGCATGTACTGAGGCCACCACCCTCAAATGGTTGAAATAGACCTGCTGCTAAGGTCATCAAAGCACCACATCAAAATGTATGGCTGTCTACGTGCAGATGGCGAGGCCCCACCTACACCTCCCTCGCAAGCTGCCAGCGTGGAGCCGAACCAAGCCGTTTCAGAACAGACTCAGACCACTCCACTTGCGGAGGCTCCACCCACAGCAGCGGATCCAGGGGAGTTGGTTCCAACGCCACCTAGGGTCGCACCACAGCCTCAGCGAGAACTGTGTGGCCCTCCGGACTTGGCTACCAGTCCCCGGCGGTCTGGCAGAGTTTCCAAGCGCCCAACTTATTTAAAGGACTATGTTGTTGGACAGGTATCACTGTTGGTCTAAGTCTGTTCTGAAACGGCTTGGTTCGGCTCCACGCTGGCAGCTTGCGAGGGAGGTGTAGGTGGGGCCTCACCATCTGCACGTGTCTCTTCTGGAGCCGCAAGCGCAGTTGGGGGCACCTCGGTAGTGTCCAAGTCCCCAACCCTGCGCCTAAGCTGGTCTATGTGCCGTCGCCACAAGCATCCGTCTTCGAGTGCCACCTGGTACGAGCGAGGTCCGGTGACTCCCACTACTGTGGCTGGCACCCAAGGGATGTCCCCCACATAGTTCCGGGCAAAGACCTGGTTTCCCGGGACGAATGACCGTGGTGCGTTGGCACAGCCTGGGGGTTCAGCCACGGCAAAGTCTGGGTGTAGCCGGTCGAGCGGTGACCTGAGGCGGCGGCCCATAAGCAGTTCCACAGGACTCCTCCCTGTGGCCGCATGAGGGGTGATGTGTTGCGCGAACAAGTATTCGGCGACCCGCTCATGCCAGTCTCCCCGGTCCAGGCGCGCCAGTGCCTCTTTTGTCGAGCGCACCATTCTTTCCGCTTGCCCGTTGCTGGATGGATGAAAGGGTGCCGTTAGGGCATGGCGGATGCCCAGTCCCAAAAGATACCGCTCAAACGTGCCTGACGTGAACTGCGGTCCGTTGTCAGAGACAAGGACATCAGGACACCCATGCGTTGCAAACAGGCCTCGATGACAGCTTCGGTAGTGGTGGAGGGCATCAGGGCGACCTCCAGCCATTTGGAATAGGCGTCCACCACTACCATAAAGGTCCGGCCGTGAAAGGGGCCAGCCAGATCGATGTGCACCCTCGACCAGGGTGTCTTTGGCGTCTCCCAGGTGTGTCCCTTAGCTGCTGGTGGTGCAGGCCTCGACTCCTGGCACACTTGACAGGCGGACACCCAGGCAGTGATGGCATCGTCCATATTAGGCCACCAGACGTAACACCGAGCCAACGCCTTCATTTTGACAATTCCCGGGTGGCCAACGTGCAGAGCCTCCAGGACGCGCTGACGGAGTCCCTGGGGAATCACGACGCGGTCTCCCCACAGCAGGCAGCCGCGATGAGCTGAGAGTTCATGTTGTCTGGTTGCGAAGGGCTGGAACTCCGATGCAAAAGGCCCTTGTGGCCACCCCCTCCACACCCAGTTGAGCACCCGGCTGATGGTGCGATCCTGGGCAGATGCGGAGGCCACAGTGGCAGCCGATACAGGCGCTGCCGGAAGATCCTCAATCAGAAGGAGCGATGAAGCTGGAGCCGGGTCTTCCACAAATGCTGGAAGAGGGCAACGGCTGAGGGCGTCGGCATGGCCCATCGATTTCCCCGGGCGATGGATGAGCCGGTAGTGGTAGGCAGCCAGGAAAACAGTCCATCGCAGCATGCGTGGTGAGAGGACCGGTGGAGTTGGACGATCACCGGCGAGGAGGCCCAGGAGTGGCTTGTGGTCAGTGATGAGGTCAAAAGTCCTGCCATAGAGGTATTCATGGAACCTCTTTACTCCAGCCACAAGTGCCAATGCCTCCTTGTCGAGCTGGCTGTAATTCCGTTCCGTCGGAGATAGTGTCCTGGAAAAGTAGGCGAGCGGTGCTTCTCTTCCATCTGGAAAACGGTGACTAAGGACAGCACCGATGCCAAAAGGTGAGGCGTCGCAGGCAAGGACTTGTACTGTACCAGCACACTGTCTGAAGAAAGGAGAGCCTTGACCGCGTTGAAGGCCGCCGTCTCCCGATGACCCCAGGCCCAAGGCGTCTTAGTGCTAAGGAGTCGGTGAAGAGGCTCAGCCACTGTGGCTTTGTGGGGCAGGAACATGTTATAAAAGTTCAGCAGCCCCAGGAATGCCTGCAACTCCGTTTTGTTCTTTGGGGTGGGGGCCTGCTGGATAGCGCGGGTCTTGGATGTGGTTGGATGAAGACCGGAGGCATCGATAAGATAGCCCAGGAACTCTACCTGTGGAACGGCGATCTGGCACTTGTCCCTCTTTACCTTGAGCCCGGCCTCCTGGAACCTGGTCAGCACGGCACGGAGGCGCTCGAACAGCTGCTGGTGTGAGTCTGCAGACACCAAGACGTCATCAAAATATGGTACCACGCCCGGAAGCCCTTGCAGGAGACGCTCCATAAGGCTTTGGAAGATGCCAGGAGCCACACTCACCCCGAACGGCAACCGGCGGCAACGGAAAGCCCCCCGGTGGGTGACGATCGTCTGGGCTTCAGCAGTGGCATCATCGACTGGCAGTTGTTGATAGGCTTGGGCAAGGTCCAGCTTAGCGAAGACCTTACCCTCACCCAGGGAATGCAGCAGGTGTTGGACAACAGGAACCGGGTAAGCGTGCTGCTGAAGTGCCTTGTTGATCGTGCACTTGTAGTCAGCGCAGATTCTCACCGACCCATCTGGCTTGACAGGCGTGACGATGGGGGTTTCCCACTTTGCGTGGTCAACCGGCTCCAAAACTCCTTGGGCGATCAGTTTGTCCAGTTGTTCGTCCACCTTAGCCTTGAGGGCAAAGGGAACCCGGCGTGGCTTTAGCTTGATGGGGGCGACTTGTGGATCAAGGCTAAAGGAGATGGGCGTACCTGTATATTGGCCCAAGGTGCCGTCAAAAACCTCGGCAAAGTCTTCGACCAGACCCTCAGTCTCTGCGTTAGAGATGCAGTTGATGCCGGTGACTTCCAGGCCGAGGGCATCAAACCAGTCTAGCCCTAGGAGGCTTGGCCGCTGACCTTCGACCACCACCAACCGGAGCAGGCCCGAAAAATCCTTGAAAGCGATCCGGAACCGGCCAACGCCTACCATGGGAATGTCGTTTCCCTGGTAGTCTCTCAGGTGTACGCGGTGAGAGTCGAGTTGCCTTTTGGACACTCTGGGTACCAGTCTTTTGATGGTGCTCCATGACACGATGGACAGGGCAGACCCGGTGTCGATCTCCATGTCACATGGAGCTCCTTCAATGAGCACCGTGACGTTCAGCTTGCGTCGCGTAGGCGAGTCGGTTTGGCCAATCGTGGTTCCAGACGGGCAGCGGCAGTTGGTGAGAGCGAAACAACTTTCCTTGGCAGACTGGAGTGAAGACTTGGACTTGCGAGTCGATGAAGGGGGGGTGTCAGACGGAGCCGATCGGCAGACCTTAGCGATGTGGCCCCTTCTGGAACACTTCCTACAGATGGCGTCTCTGAATCGACACTTGGCACGGGAATGGTTGCCTCCGCAGCCAGCACATTCCGGTTGGCCCTTGGACTTCTGTTGGAACTTCCTGCGCTCCCGCTTTGTCTGGTGCACGTCATCGTCTTCACTGGAGGATGCCTCATCACTGCTGGCCTCTTCATGATGCACTGGAACTGGCTCCCTAGCAAGACGCGGGCTGCTGGACTTGCGGATCTCCTGGGCGGAGCGTTCAGCAGCTTCTGAGGCCACAGCCTCCTCAATGGCTTTCTGTAGCGTGAGGTCTGGCTTGGCTAGGAGGCGCCGTTGCAGATGGATGTCCCGGACCCCGCAGACGATTCGATCCATCAGGGCATCGTCTAAGTCTCGGAACTCACAGTGCATTGCAGCCTGTCGCAGGGCGGTGGTGTAGTTGTTGATTGACTCCCCCTCTGCCTGGTTCCGGTGGTAGAACGCATGGCGGGCAGCAATCTTGGACGGCTTTGGTGCGTAGTGGTTGCGGAGCTTCTCTTGGATCGTGTCCCATGGTGTTGCCTGGACTGCTTCAGGCGCAACCAACGCTCGGGCCGTCTCAAACACCTCAGGCCCACAGAGGCTGAGGAATAGGCCCCGCTTCCGCTCCTGTGATACTGCTGTCAGCTCGTTGGCTTGGAGGTAGCAGTCGAACCGAGCGAGGTAGGAGTCCCACGATTCAGAGGCTGGCGCAAACGGCGGTAGAGGCACAAGTGAAGCCATGATTCCGATGCCGGCGTGAAGGGCGATGGATGGAACACAGTGCTCTAGCCAGAACAGTCAGCTCTGAATTGGTTCTGCCCAGTGATTTCGCTCAGTGATTTCGCTCTGTGATTCAGCTCAGTGATTCAGCTCAGTTCAGAGGCTGGCCGCATCTGGCTGTGCTCTGATGTCCATCAATCCCATCCTCGTCGCCAGTGTTAAGTCGTGGGTTGACATAGCAGCCGGCACAGCGATTTCTTCAAGTAGCTCTTTATTATGGTAAGCTGGAATACAACTGACTGCGAACAGCTCAGCCGGCCTGTATTTATAGGCAGCCGGCTGTCAACATTGTAACCACAACAGCCCAGAGTTCCCGCCTAAAATAACGGACGCGGACCTGAGTGAAAACTATCTACAGACCTGAGTGAAAACTATATACAGTATCCCCCTGTTGGCCCAGGGTGAAACTACACTACATAACAGTTTCAGCCTTTCTAAAGGGAACATATGAAACCAGTTGGTCAGATACTTTATCCCTATTCATGCATCAGTTGCATGAAGGGAGAGTGAGATTGTGCCGATTGCTCTCCTTCCAGTGTCATGTCCCAGGCCTGCAGGCAGCATCAGTGGCACTCTTTCTCAGTGCCGTGTTAGTTTATCATGTTGTTATTGAACAAATAAGGTTTGTGGTGAGACACAAACCAACACATGTTTGCATCACTGGCAATAATGGTTCTACAATACCACTACCAAGCATCTGAAAAGCTATTGTCTGTGCACTTTGCCAGTGGAAGGGCTAGACAGAGTGATTTTTTACACCCGAGCCTTCCAACCAGGTAATTGATCAGAGCCAATAAGGCCCCTTGAATGTGAGGAGCTTGGCACCCACCCCCTCACTCACCGTGGTCTAGGATGTACTTCACAATCTCGCCATGCCCAGTCTTGGCTGCGTGGTGAAGCAAGGAACAGTGGTCAGGTCCCTGGATTAACAGATTAGCTCCTTTTTTGCAGCAGTCTATGAACTGGAAGATAAATGCATAGAGAAAAGTCTAAATAATGTGAAGTTGTGGTTTCCTTTTGCAGACGTGGCGTTAAACAAATTGCATTGCTAAAACAGAAATAGCTGTTAGGCAAATGTTTTCTGGGATTCCAGATTCAGCTCTGAGCAATGGAGAAATATCTTTAATAGCATTTCATGAACAAATACGCCTTACACTGTAATATAAAATAGGTTGGACAATGGCCTATTAACTTTGTGTTAAATTTCTTTGTAACTGAGGTGAGGAACCCCTGGCCCATTGGCCTATTTGGTCCCATCTTGTCTCTCCATTTGGTCCACCAGGCCATTCTGGACAAGCCATCACTCACCTGTCCTGCACCAGGGATCATATATGATGTCTGGTATGGAGCAGGTAAAGTTCCAGCTGTGCTGAAAAGGGGTTTGCAGGAACCACTGATCACCTGATGGGTAGCACCTGCAAAAGCCTTTGCAATGAACTTTGAAGCCCTGCCCATCAGCTGATTGTTGGGGCTTCAACAAGCAGCACAGGGCTCTCTGAATAAACCAACAATCAGATGAAGCCCCAATAACCTTCAGCATAAGAGCCCATCCTCCCTAGGCCAGTGAAAGTCCTGAGAACTGGTTTGCATGAGATGGTTGTAGAAAATTGCTGCACGCATTAGCTGTCACTGTGACGAGTGAGTTGCACGCATACCAGGCAGATAAGAGCATGGAGATGGGCTTGTGGGAAATGTGGGGTGGGGAGAGTCCTGGGAGCTTCTTAGAGAGGCCTGGTAGGTCTATATTTTGTCCTGCTTGTGAGGCTTCCATAGGTATCTCCTTGGCCACTGTGAGAACAGGATTCAGGACTTGATTCTTATATTACGTTCTTCACAAAAATGTGTCTCCCAGGCCATTTCACAAGCTTCACAAAGAGAACATTTTTAAGCACTGAGCCAGCTCCAATTCATGGATTGCAATTATCCAGAAGAACTTCTCATGGCATAGCCCACCTCAAATTCTGGTGTGAACAAATAAAAATCCTAGTCTGAAAGAAAGCACATAAAATGTCCAAGCTAAGCAGATTTGGGTCTGTTTAGGAGCATCACTTTCTGTTCCAGGATGAGCAAAAGGTGGGATATAAATGTAAGAGAATCAATAACACGACATTAACATCATTTATGGCAGTGATCCCTTGATCAGAAAAAATGTAACCTCTGAAATGTGCCTTAGTTATTGAAAAACAGGTGATGCAATGACAGACATAAGCAGCATAATGACAGGAGTTGGGGAGGGGAGAAAACCCTCCCCTTTCTACTCCGACAGGAGAGATATAGGAGAGGCTTGGCATTCCTGGAACCTGCTTAATATCTGAACTGCATTCACAGCAAATACTGAAATTGCAATGAAGTGCAAAGGAGAGCAGAAACTAATGTACTATTAGACTGGCCATACATCAAATCATAAGATGATAGACTGTGGTGCCTGTTACTTACATGGGTAGCTACTTGAATCTGCACTAAACTATGCGTTTAGGAGTGTTTGGATGTTGTAGTATTGCTAAGACTAGTCTCTTGGGGAACTTGTGAGTGTTTAGCATTTAAGAGTAATTCTTCAGCTTATAAAGTAACTCGGTATACTAGAGGGTGGATGTGTTGTGCAGGATAAGGCCTTGTAGGTATTACTTTATTTCATCGGAGGCATGAAAGATTTCCAGATATGATTGGAGACATTTTTGTGCCAACAAGCTTTTCCAACAGAATGAATAGGTCTCTGTCATGGTTATCCACTTGCTATTTTTTCTGAGCTGCTGGTCTTTTCTGTTCTGTTTTAAACTCTTTTCTAGCTGCTTTTGCTACATTTTGTACATTGCCTTGAGATGACTGTGGAAGGTGCTTAAAACATACTTCTGTACATACTTGCACTCGATGAGATCTCTTGTTCTAGAAGTGATTCTAGTTGGCATTTGGTGATCAGATATGTATCCATTTGGAGTTTGAAGAAGGATAACAAATTATCCTGGCCTCAGTTATCCACGCTTTGATAACCTCCAGGCTAGACTACTGTAATATGTTATATGTGAGACTGCCCTTGAAGACTGTTCAGAAATGATAAGTTAATGCAGAATTGGAATGGCCATTATGAAAAGACTGTGCCTGGACTAGCTGCACTCACTCCCAATGCATTTCTGGGCCCAGTTCAAAGTGCTGTTTTGACCTTTCATAGCTTAGGATAAAAGCACCCATATACAGTGATACCTCGGTTCTCGGACATAATTTATTCTGGAAGAACGTTCGACTTCCAAAACATTCAAAAACCAAGGCACAAAAGGTTGGCTGCAAGTTCAATTGAAAAAAAAAATTGGAAAACACACAGCAGAAGCTGTTCAACTTTCGAGGCGCATTCAAAAACAGAAGCAATTACTTCCGGGTTTTCGGCATTCAAAAACCAAAACGTTTGGCTTCCGAGATGCATGAAAACCAAGGTACCACTGTTATGAAGTTCTTGACTAGAGGGTCTCCTGCTAGTGCCCCCATCATCTAAGGCAGCCTTTGCCAACCTGGTGCCCTCCAGATATTTTGGACTACAACTCCCATCAGGCCAAGCCAGTTTGGCAAAGGCAGGTCTAAGGTGAGGCTTTATGGCGATGGTGCCCCAGTTCTTCTCTCCAGTGAGGTTTGCCTGGTGCCCATCTTAATGTCCTGGTTTAATTTCCCAAATATTTAGATGCAAATGTAAGCTAGCCCACCAGCCATTTTAATCCTGTTCATAGATTCCTTGGCTTTCGGGGGTTGTTCTATTTCTCTATGTTTACATTTTTAGTATTTTTTTATCCCTTTTTTGGTACAACATCCTTGAGATATAAAAACTTGTATTAAATAAATAAATGAATGGTAATAATAACAACAACCATGTAAGGGGTATAGGGAATATCAATGAGGATGCATCAGAACTTCTTTTACTTACTTTTAGAAAATCACCAGCTATTACTGACTGTAAAAGTGCTGCAAAGAACAAAAAGAGGACATTAGCATTAATAATCATTCTTGACACAAATGCAGTCATGTTGCCCAATTGTGATAATTAATACAAAATAAGAGGCTCGCCCCAAAGGCCTTATATTCTACAGGCATGACCTTTCCAGGCCATTGTTATGCATTGCAACTTAGATTTAAGAGCATTTTCACACCTGAAACTTAAATTAACACATATTTGCAAATGTAAAAACAACAACAACAGCAGCAACCCTACATCTTGTTCCATATTCTATTCTGCATCAAAAAGCATCACATGTCGTACAAGCTGCATATGAACTTCCAAAAGATCCTCTCTTTCTTTTCTCTCACTTGTGAAAAATGGCAGCTCTGGATTTGGTACAGAGTGGGCAGTTCTCCTGCACATGACATCGAGCTGAGGGGGTGCAAATTTGAGAGGATTGATAATTAAGAAGATCCATTTGGGGGCACCAAATTTGGGCCTTGGGCAAGATGGCATATTACAGAAGATTGCCAAAGTCTGGCCATGAAAATCGTCTCATCACATTGGCCCCTGTTTCACACATTATGTAACACCAAACCCATATTTACTCCTGAGTGCAAGGAGTTGTTTAAATTACCAGAACTCTGGTGAATGTACCTGTATAACCCAAATATTTTCAAATATCCACTTGCCGCATAAATACTTTACATATTTAGGGGTACACCAACCAATGTAATGCATGAAAAGGTGCTTAGTGAAATGCTTAACCAGTAAGGGATTCTTACAGAAGGCTTCAATTCAAGGAGGGCCATAGCTCAGTTGTGGCACATCTGCTTTGCCAGCAGGAGGTTCCAGGTCCAATCCCCGGCATCTCCAGGTAGGGCTGAGAATATTGCCTGCCCCAAACCTTGGAGAGCTGCTGCCTGTCAGTGTAGACAGCACTGAGCTAGATGGAGCAACAGTGTCCCCGAAAATTTTGGCACAACACCTGGGAAGACAGGCGAAATAATGCCAGTGTACTGGAAGAAGCAAAGATCTCCAGTGTCAAAGCGATGAGTCTTCAACATCAACTTTGTTGGACTGGTCATGTTGTGAGTATGCCTGATTATCATCTTCCAAAGCAACTATTCTAGTTCAAACTTAAAAATGCATAATGCTGGTGGTCAACTAAAGAGACTCTTCAAGGCAAATCTTTAAAAATGTAGTATAAACACCAACAACAGGAAAACACTGGCCTGAAAGTGCTCCAATTGGAGATCAGCCTTTACCAAAGGTGTCATGGGCTTTGAAGACACTCGAACTCAGGATGCAAGGGAGAAACATGCTAAGAGGAAGGCACACTCGGCAAGCCCTGACCATGATCAACTCCCACCCGGAAACCTATCTCCCCATTGTGGAAGGACGTATGGATCCATAATTGGCCTCCACAGTTACTTAACGACTCAAAGTTTGGATTTGAGTTTGGATTTGAGTTTGGATAAGACCATGTTCATGTAAGACAATCTTACTCAGCAACGAGTGAGAAGAAGAAGAAGAAGAAGAAGAAGAAGAAGAAGAAGAAGAAGAAGAAGAAGAAGAAAGGGTCTGACCTATAAGGCAGTTTCCTATCTTTCTAAGAAACCATATCCATATATAAAGGATGTTAAGCCAATCAGTTATTTGTTTGTTTGTTTGTTTGAATTTATAGCAGGAGTGGGGAACCTTTTTACTCTCAAGAGCCACATTCCCTCATGTGCAGCCTCCCAAGCACCACATGGTGGTGGGCGGGGCCACTGCAAAAAGTGGGTGGAGCCACAGGTGAAACTCTTAGCATGGTACAGTAAAAGTCAGATGTTCCTACATACAGCCACACTTCATGCTCCTCCCTCTTCATGCTCTATCCAGGCAAGAAAGAGGCACCATCATAATTCAATGGTATATTCCAGCCAAGAGAAAACCAATTGAGGAGGGTTCGGAGCAGGAAAATTGAGGAGGGTAGCCTGGGAACATGGCTTGAGAATTGTCATGGGAGCCAGATGGAGAGGGTTGGGGGGCTGCATTTGAACTCTGGGGCTGAGGAGCCCTATCTCTGATTTATAGTTGGCCCATCACCATGCAGTTTCAAGGTGGGTTACATTCAAGGTCAACACTAAGTCACCACTTAGACCATATCAAAGAGCATGCAGAAACTCTGCAGATGGAGTTATGCTCTGCAAAAATATGAATCTTGAGCAGCCCGTGATGGGGTAAGACACAACTTAGCAGGGAGGGCATATCACAACCCAGAGGCCATCACAGTGAAGACCCTCTCATGCACCACAACCCAATGAATGTCAAAGGTCAACTGTAAAAATGTAAATTTCAGAGGCTTATCAGTTCACCTATTGCTTAAAGAGGTATAGTTCTGATGGATTTGCCTTTAGATGAGAATTGAAATTATTTCGGTTCCCCCAAATATCACCTTTGCCTAGTGCAGAAACGGAACTGACTCTAGCACCACCATATTCCTGACTAGAAACCCTCGCCTTGACTGGAGTCTGAAAAACGAAGAAGTGCAAGCAAATTGGCAGAGAATTTTCTCTGTGCAGCGCTGGGCTGGCACCTCCGTGGAGAGAATTCCACAAGGAGCTCATTATTACTCCAGGAATAACACCACAAATGTGTAAAAGGGAGAGGGAGAGAGAAAGAAAGAAATCACTGCAGGAAGAACTGAAGGACGCAAGCAAAGAAACTAAGCAGTGTTGCTCACTCAGAGAGCCTATGTTTGCGATACAAGATTCAAATGCTTCTTGCATCAGACTTTTGTGTAAGAGTCTCAGGAACATTTCCTCACTTCATCTCCCATGTGCAGCACAGGAAAATGTAACATCCAAACCAAAAGGGTTATAAAACAAACAATAAAACTACAGCAACTCTTAAGGCAGATTTCATGACAACTTATTTACAGGTTTTCCGAAAAGCACCCAGCAGCTCTATTAACTGGGACACGTGTGTTGCTTTGCTGGGTATTGTGGGGTTGTTTGTTTGTTTCTAAAGAGGCAGATAAATGAATAAAAAGGGTGGGAGAATCTTTTCCTGTTCCTATACCTCCAGCAGGTTCAGCCAAGCAACTTCTTCAAGTCTACTTGTGGGAACTCTAATTCCAAAATTATTTATTGCTGCTTTATAAGATAAAGGGACCTCTGATAGTTAAGTCCAGTCGCGAACAACTCTGGGGTTGTGGCACTCATCTCGCTTTACAGGCCAAGGGAGCCGGTGTTTGTCTGCAGACTGTTTTTCCAGGACATGTGGCCTGCATGACTAAACCACTTCTGGCGCAATGGAACACCAGCACCAGAGTAGTTCACGGAAATGCCATTTACCTTCCCGCTGGAGTGGTACCTATTTATCTACTTGCACTTTGACGTGCTTTCGAACTGCTAGGTTGGCAGGAGCTTGGACCGAGCAACGGGAGCTCACCCCGTCACGGGGATTCGAACCACCAACCTTTTGATCAGCAAGCCCAAGAGGCTCAGTGGTTTAGACCACAGCACCACCCACGTCTTAAAACATAACTCAATAAGATGTGTGGGGTATAAAAAGTAAAATTATCATTGTGGAATGGGACATCCCTATTTTCATTGGAGAAATGTTGGAGGGCATGTAAAACTGGTATAGCATGGTGGTTAAGAGACTGAGATGTGCATCACAAGAGCTCCAGTTCTACTTTTGCCTTTGCCAGATAGTCTACTAGATAGTCTTAAGCAAGCTCTTCTCCTCCAGCCTCAGTCTGCCTATCAGCTGTATGGGGAACAACAATACTTCATTTACCTGAAAGGATAGTTGTAAGGATTTCAACTGGCCAATGCATGTAGAGTGTTTTGAACTTTTGAAATCACTATACTGATGTTAAGTATTATTTATTAGCGTGTTTATTTATGACATATTGTATTGCTAAACTTTTATAAATTGTTATCTATTAAGACATTGCTAGGAGACCTCAAAGCAACAATTCACATGCAACCTGTTTTCTCACACTGGAAGCATGGATCCATAAATCCATAAAACTCAGCTTGCATTGTTAGCCTTCATTATTTCTATTTTTGTCTGTGCAGTTCCGAAGGAGGGATGGAGCTGTCAATACATTGGGATTTTAAAACCCAAATGAAAATTTCTCATATAAACAATAATAGAGCTATTCATCCATTACAAGCATCCCTGGAAGTGTTAACTTTACTCCCTCTGCTGGCCATGAACAAAAACATCTCGTCCCTGTATGGAATATTCTACTTGCTTTTCAGCAACAATAAGGGGCGAACTGGACACTACGGTGGGGAAATGGCCCTAAGTGGTAGAAGGCAAGCTCCTATAGAAGGGTGTGGAAGCAATTTGAAGGGTAGGGTACGAGGGGGATACTGAACATCACACACAGAGAGAAGAAGGAGAAGGAGAAGAAGAAGAAGAAGAAGAAGAAGAAGAAGAAGAAGAGGAGGAGGAGGAGGAGGAGGAGGAGGAGGAGGAGGAGGAGGAGTTTGGATTTGATATCCCGCTTTATCACTACCTGAAGGAGTCTCAAAGCGGCTAACATTCTCCTTTCTCTTCTTCCCCCACAACAAACACTCTGTGAGGTGAGTGGGGCTGAGAGACTTCCAAGAAGTGTGACTGGCCCAAGGTCATCCAGCAGCTGCATGTGGAGGAGCGGAGACGCAAACCCGGTTCACCAAATTATGAGTCTATCACTCTTAACCACTACATCACATATACAAAGACACACACCTGAAAAGTATTCTCAGTCCTTGGTTGTGGGTATGCATGTTGGTGTGTGATGCCCGCAAGAATTTCTCCAGTTTTTCGATGCACCCCAGACCCCCCTAGAAGTTGCTGGTCCCTTCTTTAGAATACTGATTGCCAGATAGGGTGGCTATGTGTCCTATTCTACAGGGGGCAGTCATCTTTTTGTAGGTATTCCCTTTTTAAAGGGCCGCCCAATCCAGGCAGTGGTGGAGATTAATACTCTGTCACCAGGATGCAGAGAGCAGGTGGAGGCATGGCTGGTGCATGTCCCAGG